GTGTGTGTGTGTGTGTCAGATTTTTGATGTTTGGTGTCAATTGCACATTATGACTTTTTCTTCCTTGAGCACCTGCTCCACCTCCTGTGTATGTCCTGCCCTGCAGGGGCGGACCCATATACTTTAATACAATTATTTTTCACTTTATTTTAAATCATGTTGTTGTTGATGTGTCCCGTACGTTTGTTCATCATTGTCCTGTATTGTTTTATGACAATTCACAACACACACAAGTTTTGCTTTTTACACACTGGATGATTCATTCATAGCATTAAAACGTTTAGAATAGGTTTCATTGTTTGGAACTTTGTAAAAACCAAAGCACTGATTATCCAGATAACCCTGGTGAGAAAAAATGTAAAACCGTACTGAAATAAATATCTCTTACGTAGTGGATAAGGGAATACTACTGCATATTTTGGTCAAAAAAACCTGACCTTTGCAATGTCACACTTAGACATAAGATTAGATAAGAAGCACTGATTGGTGCGTTAACAATTTTGAGGCTTATTGTTTACACCTGGAGTAAGGTGTGGTCTTTGAGTTTAAGCCGTGATGACTTGAGATATATTGAGAGCATGTGTTTGCTGAACAATCACATGTACTTGCAAAAAATGTTTTGAACGAATGATACTGAAATGTGCGGAAACAGGTGAACAGTGTTATGGGAAATGTGTTTGGGGAATGCCATCTGGATAGAGGTTTTATACAGGAACAGGTTTTTGTGTTTACAGTAAGCAATCAGGAAAAACTGTGATGCTCATGGTGTCAGAATCTCACGTTTTAGGGTCACCTATGGGTGTATGTTCAGTTGTCCGCATACGTTTGGCCAGGTTTGTAATAAAAATATATAAATTAGAAATGAAAATTGAACCTGCTTCTCTCCTCATAAGAGAAAAAAACCCCACTAGCCTTCTCTTGCTACCATGCCATATTCTTAATGCCCTTCCAAGCAGATTTAATTCTGCCAGAGGTAAAGTTCTCCTCTGCTTTGTTTTTGTGGGTGATTTTTTGCCATTTTGCTTTCCTGTTCGACCCCCCCATTAACTCCTCCAGTCTGAGCAGGTTTTACTTATTAAAGCTGGCCTTCAGGGACTTGGACACCATGGGTTTATTATTGGGGTATATTTTGCTGTAACAGGGACCCGAGGGACATAGTGTAGTTTTCTCCTCACAAAACTGAATGTAGCCACTAATAACAGTATCAGCTACCTGGGTTGTTAGAGGTAGTGTTTTTGAACATTTCCCAGTCAGTGCAGTCCCAAATTGCAGGCGCTTGGTCGATTCAGTTGTCCATCTCTGAATCGTCCAAGAGACAACTATTTTTCTATTCGTAATAACATTTCGTATGACGGCAAAAGGTGTACACATGATCAGCCGAACAAAATGGAGGTGTGGGGAAAGCTTTAAAGGCATTTGGAACGATGCTGTAGCATAAATCCAATGTTTTCATAAGTAATGTGGGGCAGTCAACATACTGATGGAAGTTGTCAAGTTAAAGTCTTCCAGGATTAAGCGAAGTGCATTTGGATCACGTGATTGGAGATTGAGAACCACGTTACATATAGCGTCCTTTACTCTGTCAACACCTGCCCTGGTGGATTTCAGGGGCATGCCCAGACGTTTTTGACTGGGGTGGCACACGTGGAGCACTTACTTATGCAGGGGTGGAAAGAAGTATGTGTCTCAGGTTTCCAGTCATTCCCCAAAAAATACTGTTTATGCAGGAATATTCACATACCCAAGTTTTTTTGACCAAAATTGCATGGGATTACTGCAAATGGGAGGCTTGTGGGTACCCTTATCACACATTTTCATTCGGATATCTTGAGGTCAGATGTCAGGGAATTTCTTAAAAAATGGCCATGCCAGTTTTTCTATGTACAAAATTTACATTAACTTTGGAGTGTTATTTAGCCTCAACACACTAGCATGACATGGTTGGTGCCAATGGATGCGTTAGGCCATCTTCTTTCATATGATGCCAGTATCTTCACTCTAGCCCAATATAACAGCCTGGAGTGAAAGAATGGAGTGACTCTTGGTGTGGCCAATCAGATTTCAGGGATGTGAAACTCAGGCCCCCCCTCTGCACACGCCCCTGGTCGATGTACACCACCGTTATAAAAATCTGTGGGAAACCCCTCAGTAGATAGAAGGAATGCAGACACAACAGTCAACAGTTCAATGTCAGTACACAGACTCTCCCGCACAATCACTGTTTTACATCAACGGCCATTGACATACAAACACCTCACCCACCCTGACATTTCCCCGTGATGGAAGGAAGGAAGAAGGAATGTGCAATCCTCTCTGCAAATATCAGGTTTCAGACTGCTGAGGATGTTGACATTGTGCGATTAGTCGGAGCAGGTCATTATCGGCACTTAATAAACAAAGGCAAAGAATCAAACACCAATCTGTTTTTATTAAGCTGTGTTTTACTTCAGTGATTTCCGCTGCTCTTCAGTTACATTTAGACATAAAGATCTTGACCAGTACAATATGAATATTTGACATTTAAAATAATCCGGCAACAGTGTCTTTGTGTTTTTACATAACTACAAACTGCAGGAAGCACATTGTCATAATCCCTCCAGTTGAATAATTCAAGATTTGTGCCAAAGTTAGGAGTGAGGCAGGATATTTTACAGTATTGTAAACTTATTGTTCAACTGTCTCATTGTGTTTACAATATGTTCTCAAAAATAGTAAAAATGTTTTGCTCCCATTTTGCAACGAGTTGCAGTAAAACATCTAATATTTCTTCTATACACACACTAAAGGTTTATTTCTCTCAAATTTTGTTCACGAATTTGTTGAAATCCGTGTTAGCGAACACCAGCACCTCTCCTTTGCCAAGAAAAGAAGTTTAGGCAACAAATATTATGTTCTGTCAGTTGAAATCTAGTATAATATCTCAACAGATTACACAATCCACACCTCATTACAAAACCTGAAACCACATCACCATCAAGTAAAAATTGTGTCCAATACTTTGAACATTATCTGCACTTGGCTCTAGTAACAGAGTAACATCTTTGAGTTTTTCCTAAGAAAGCTCAAAGTTTTGCAATGTGGCAGAGAAGAAGCATAAACATATGCAAATAAGTTCTTGAAGGAGCAAAACAGAGGACTTACTTAAGACAGAACTTTTTATAACATAAAAAATTATTTAAAAAATAGGAAGATATTACAGTATCTGGTGTGTAAAAAGTGAAAACCGGCAATAATAATCAGTTTACCCTTTGATTTTAACGATTGCATAATTACCACTAACTTGTATGTGTACATACAAGGAGGGTTGTAGTTGTATAACATAAATATTTATAGTGCAAATAGTACTTTGTACTAAAATAGATAAGAGACAATTCAGCAAACTGTTCATGAATTCAGAAGGGACAGTTTGAAGAATGACTGCATCACTGATGGGGTTGCAGTGCCCTCTGCAGGAAGTAAAAACAAAGAACATCATTTCCACAACAGAAAAAAAACGTGTAGTTTACAAATTATTGAACTCTGAATAAATTATAACAATTCAAGCAACATATATTATCAGTTTGTCATACAGCATCTTTCTATGAGGTGTATGGAATGAAGACAAAATACAAAACAGATAATTTGCTGGGTAACAGAAAAAAAGAATACATAATAAATATATTGTACAAATAATATCATATATAAATATAAAAATACATAATGTATTCAACCAGGAAGTCAACTGAGATTGAAATCCGTTTCCTGAGGGAGACCTGGTCGAGACAACAGACCAGTTACAATTTAAATAGAAATAAATGACAGGGAAAACAAGCATCACACACACAAGAAAGAAGGACTAAAGCCAGCTCAAATGAGGCAGTTGCATTTCTCAGTTACATGGAGTTATAACATGGCCTTAAATTCTTCCAATGGGACCAGATCATGACGATACAGTATGTTTTGCACCATTATTCCAAGCTCAATAAAGTTAAATCAGAAGTGGCGAGTGGATGAGTTTAACCTGGGGCAATAGAATGTGGCCTAAACTCAAGGTTTAATGGATGGAAGGTGGGGATAACGGAGGGACGGAGAGCAGAGAGAGAGAAGAGGGGAGAGAGAGAGAGAGAGAGGGAGAGGGAGAGAGATATGAATGAATGAACACAACATAGATGTGTATAGATTTCACTCCTTGTCCATCTCACATGAATTTCTCAATGGAAGATTCACTCCTGTTGACATCTTGTATAGTCCGTTGTGTCTGAACTCTTGTCTCTTTCCTGCTAAAAACACCAATGAAGTAACCACCCAAGTCACGTGTTTAAAAAGAGCACAATACATAATGAAATAAAAACATATTGTACAACAAAATATACAGCAAATACATAAAATGTTGACCTGGTGCATGCAGGTTACCCACAGAATCAGCAGACAGCAAGAGAGCATTCCATAGTTTAGTTGCTGCTGACTCAAAAACTCGATCACTACCAATCTTAAGGTGGGACTCGAGCAGATTTGGCATATTTGACCTAAGGGAGCGAGCTGAGGGGGCAGTGGTTCAGACACATATACAGAAGCCTGACTGTGCAAGGCTCTGTAAGTAAGAGTGAAAATTTAAACTGGATCCTATTTGCAACACAGAGCGAATGAAGAGGTCTAGGTATAGTGAGTATAGGGAGTAATGTGAGTCTATTTTGATCTAGTGAGTCATGCAGCATCATTCTGGATTGCCTGTTCCTATTTCTTAAGGGGAAAAACATGATCTGGCCAGCTGCCTAACAACGACAGCGATAGAATGTGAATGCAGAATGTGTTTTCTTACCTTTTTATTTATGTAGAACAGTAAAACCTGCCAGCAATGCAGATAAAATGACTCCAACCACTACAGCTATAATAATGACTGTGACGCCAGTTTGAGTCCCTGAAACAGACAAAGAGTCAGTTAACTCAACTTTCTACTAGCCAAACCAAGTATTTCTGGATAGTCTGACATATTGTTCACTTGTCCATCTCACAGAGCAGATCGAGTGTTCATTACAAATGTATAAGTTTCCTCACATAGATCACTCAGTTGTTAGATAATGCTAATGTTAGGATGAATCATAAATTCAGTGACATTTCTAATTCGCAGCTATTTCCTTCTAACCACCGATCAACAATGTTAGTGAACACCCAAGCAACCACCTAACAACCACACGGCAACCACAACCCAGCAATGCCTTAACAAAGATTTATGATACCCTGGAAGCCACCTACAAAGTTCCGGATGGTGCAGAGTGGCACAAACTGAGCACACAGATGGTGTTTTTTTTTATCATCAATCAGTTTCATGACAGACATAAATAAGAAAAACGTCAGTTTCTCTAAATCTCTCACATGTAAAACATTACTGAGTCACAACTGACCAGTCTGTTGTGAGGTTTGTGCACTTATTTATGAAGCTCTGAAAATAGTGTGCTTTAAAAAGAGAAACCGAGGAGGAATATTTAAATATGTAATGCCAATAAGTGCCAGTATCAACCTGATTTATTAGTTTAGTTGACAGATGAGACAGAATACTCACTGAGTTGCTTTAAAGAGGCTCTTAAGCTGTTTCTGCGCGTGATGACGTTGCAAGTGTAGACCCGATCAGTAACACTGTCTGGAAGTAGCAGAGAACTGGAGATGTTGTAGAGCTGCTGCTCGTTCTGCTTTACTGAGGATGTGTTCTCGAGGGTCACGTTGGATGGAGGGTTGGTGAACCAGGTGAGCTTAGGCTCAGGGTAGATCCCCTCTGAGCTGCAGGTGATCCTGTTTTCTACCTGCTGAATGTCGACTTTACGGACTGGAGCTGCGAAAACAAAGGATCTTGATGATACGTACAGATGAACTCAAATATGATTTTAGGAAGAAAAAAAAATAACTCACCAATTTGACAAATTTTCTGTGTTTAGTAATACATTTCACATAAATAAAATGCTAAAAGTTAGCTATTACTGTGTGTTTCTCATACCGTCCACTGTTAGGATGATAAATGAATCCTTGTGCCCGTTGATGGTCCTGGTGTAGCACTTGTATCTGCCCTGGTCCTGAACCTCCACCCCTGTCAGCTGGAGCGAGGCGTTTCCTCTGGAGATCTGGTCCTTGAACAGTGATGTCCGGCCTCTGAAGCGTTGGTCCTGGTGTTTGTGTTGGTCTTGGTTGTAGAAGTATGAGTGGATAGGATAGTTTCCTGCTGTCACCTGGATCCAGTGGATGACTACATTGGCGCCACCCTGGAAGCTGCATGGTAAGATGCAGCTCTCCATAAAAACACAGGACACCTCAGTATCTGAAAAAAGTAGAATAGGGTTAAAATCAGGAAGAACAGCAGTTGAATGCATACAACGCAAGAAGAAAGTAAATGCGAGTTGATTGATTTGAAGGTTATTCAGTAATTTATTCAGCCCAGAATAATGTTCATATAACAACTTCCCACCTCGGGAAATGGAACCATCCGAGGAGCATGTGAATGCTGAAGTAACCTACAGCGCAGTTTTCTTATGCTGTCCCAATTTACTTGGTGAATCTGAATTAACCCTATTTAAGTAATCCATGTGATTGTATGATGTTTGGAGGGGGAAAACATGAAGAAAAACATGTTTTTAATCATATATGTCACTTATTAAAAACAGTATGAAGAATGAGGATTAACTTGGATGGTTTAGAACATGTTGGGTCTTTTTTACATCCAACAGTGCACATAAACTATTAGGGAATTTTCCATAGACAGTATAATTAGATCTAGATCTAGATTTCCGTGACACAAATAGCTTTTACAGGAAAAGGAATACTACTACAGCTTTTATAAAACTGAAACCCACCTTGTTAATTTCAAGAAATATCTAGAGAGATACCTACAGCGTCATATTATATAGCACAGGAGCACTGGTAAACCTGCAGTTATTATAGTCAGTAGTTGCTAGAGTTTTCTCCTCCCTGGT